GACTCGGCCGTTAAGGTTCGATCAGGTATCAGGTAAATAATATATGTATATATATAATATACACGGCACACAACAATTTTTTTTTTCTTTTTTTTACTGGGGCATGGGATTTGCTCAGGGACGTCCAGTCAGCGCGACTGTCTGTCCCAGCGCCTGTTGTACTAGAGGTGCACTTACGTTGGGACTTTTGGGCCGGGCCGTGCTCAGGCGCTGTTACCTGTGGTTCTGTGGCCCGTGTTCACACCTGCACAGCCGATGGCGTCGTCGCATGGCGCTCTTTGTTTGCATGTTGCGCAGTGGAGTTGGTGCTTTTGGTGAAGAGGGCGGGAAAAGCGGCATTGAAGTGTCTATTGAGCGGTGGGAGCGATGTTGCGGTGCACGTCCCTCTGTGGGTTTGTGGATGTGTTTGCAGTGTGAGGGAGTGAGGGCGGCCGGGGGAGAGAAGCTGTGGAGCTTCTGTCATCTCGTTTTTATTTGGTAAAATCTTGTATTATTTGGATGGATCATAGACGAGCCTAAATGTGTCAAATATAATGCACAGGCTCCATATAATATCAAATATACAAAGTGTAGATTGTGCAGAGTCGAGTCTCAGGTCTGATCTGATTCTGGTCTGGTTCCTGTTTTGTGCAGTTCATTAAGTTTACTAAGTTACACATTCTAAAACCAGACTGTGGTAAAAGTAAAGATTTTCAACAATGATGATGGATGGTTAGAAAAGTTAATAAAATTAAAGTTTTGGACATTTGATTTTTCACACTAAGTTCAGCTCAAATACTACACATTGAAATCAACACAATCTGATCCTGCACACATCCTGGATCTTATTCTTTACTCTTAGTTCATTATATAATGTTTTATAGAAGTATCGTATCGAGACTCGGTATCGCAGATACTCAAAATCAAATGACTTGGACTCGGGGGCAAAAAAATGTGATCAGGACATACCTTTACCAACAATGATATATTGTCCATCCTAGAATTAACACCCCTACATTTTTATGTAAATAAGTGTGGTAGGTCTTTAGTGTCACTATGTGTTTCTGCAATATAAAATACCCAGCAGGTGGCGCCTCTTAGCCATAGAATTCACATTCCTTCTCTTGTCCTCTGGCCTGTTCAGCTCCATCATCCAGTTAGGCGTGTTTTCCCCTGTCTTTAGTATGACTTTCTCTCAGTATGAACTGTAGTAGAATGCACGGTGGCCCTGTCTGAGCTAACTTCACTACATTTGAAGTCATAGGCATAGGCATTGTTGTTTGTGTGGCTCTTTGCTCTGCATCTCTCTATACTATTGAGTGAATTTAAGGGAATTGTAATTGTATGTAATTGGGAAATGTGCAGTTGTAATTTATGGAACTGTGGGATATGTGACTTTAAAGAGAAAACAAATAATCAATACAAACTTAACAAGAACCTCTAACTAATCCTTGCAATTTATAAAAGCCTTCTTATCCTGATTGTACTTGGCTACGTGCCTTAAAGCAAATAGATTCTGCAAAATGGACTTTTCACAGACTTGTACCATGTTATAGTTGCTTCTCCTTCTCATTTACTCTCTCAAAGTTGTATTTGGAGTGATTCATGCATGTTTGAGCAATCTTGAATTATTTATATTTTTTAGTAATGTTGTGCTGCTCGCTAGTGTGATCTGCAGCTATTCACTGGTGTTGCAGACTCGTTGTTGTGAGGATGTTTATGGCGACATCAGTGGACCTGTTCATTTTACATTCATTCATTTTAAATGAATATTGCAATTTAAATTGTGCAAATTATAACATAATGATTGACAGGTCATAGATTATAAATATATAGAACAACATGTGTATGGTCCCAGAACCTTCTCTCTGGGCAGTGTTGTTGGTTTATTTACATATTTTATTTATTATAACCAGCTACAGTAAAGATCACTTGGTATGCCACACCTGTGTTCACCATCCAATCGGCCCATGACATACAGGGAAGCCATATTGGTGGAAAATATAGCTCACACAGGGTTCACTTTGAATTTCTGATTTGATTCTTTGCCTGAGCCTGACCAGACTTCAGGCTAGTGTTGCTTTCATTGAATATCACTCAGTGACTCATTGGTGATTCCCCCAGTCACCTCCTGCTATTCTCTGTCACTCACAGCTTGAAGCTTGATTTGATTCTCAACTCATACACACATATATATATATATATATATATATATATATATATATATATATATATATATATATATATATATATATATATATATATATATATATATATATATATTAAAAAACATCCTATAGCGTCTTTAAAAAATCTAATCACAGAGTTGGAGTAGCTTAACTTCCTTTGATGTTGAAAGAGCTTGGGAGATTAAAGATCTTAATGACAGAGTTCATGAAAGGCCTGGTCGCTGTAAAACGTTGAATAAATGTTGAATGTTTGAGTAATTTATACCGAGTGGAGAAGTCTGACTTTTGCAAGGCATTGACCTTCACCTTTTGCAAAAATAATGGCCCTTATGTGAGAAATGCCAGTGTGCATACGGAGCCGGGTAGGAGATGTCTGCTGCCATAAAAGAACCTGCTGACAGAAGAATAAAGTTGTATTCTGGAGTATCTCTGTCTGACCATATCAACTGTATCTGTCTCATGGCCCTCATTGCTAAGATCTCTTGCTTTGCAACATCACCAGGGTGTAATGTTTCAGACCAGCCTGTGGTGAGTAAGCCAACTATTGTTTAAATTACAATAATGTTTCTTTTGAATAAGACATTGATGTATAAAGCACAGTTCCTCCTTCTCCTACACACAACAGATGTATTGATTTGAACAATGTACACACACACAACCACACACATACACACACAACCACACACACACACACACACACACACACACACACATCAAAGTCCCATTTTACATTAACTCAATGTGCCCAACTGAAAAGGATGGACTGAGTACACCTCATTGGACAAAAATACTAAAGAACTATCACCACATCTGAGACTTGGTGCTGAACTGCCCGACTGTGATGCAGGGCACTTCTACCAGCTCTATGTGCTCAATCAGAGGACAATACTTCCGTGGTAAGTGCAGCAGTTTTAGATTCATATTTTAAGTAAAAGTACATGCACGCAACAATATTCAACATGTTACTTTATGATTGCAACATGCTAACCATCTTATTTGCCCCACCTGGTGGGCCTGCACAAAACAAAGGCATCAACCCCTTTGTGCTACGGAGCGTTCTACCATTTCAGCTAATTCCCCTCTTTTTGATGCCAGCAAATTCCCAGATTCCATGTTATCAAGGCTGAGGCAGTCAACAGGGTAAGAGCTAAAGGGTTACCTTTCACACAAGTGCAAGGTCCTTGTCTTTGTACCTTATTGTAAGGGTTTGGGGACCCTTCTTGTATGCAAACTTGTCCAATGTTCAAGGCAAGTTGACCTGATTTTCTCTCATGAAAAGCTGTGTGGATGTGTGTGGATTCTGTAGTGTAGTGGTCACATTTCCTTCACACGCAAAAGGCCAAAATGATTATTGATCACGCAACAATTGCCAGGGATATTCCAGACAATCCCAGAGTCTTAGAGATGAACGTATCCTGTCTGTGTGCTAAATGCATGCTGCAGCTGGCAAGACTGTTGATTTAATCCTACTAACTTTATATCAAAGAGATCAGTACATTCTTGTGGCTGGTGCGAGAGCCATGACTTCCAAGGTCTAGAATCATTTCCAGTATAATGGAGAGGTTGGGGTTTGATTCCCTGACGAGGAGTTTATCTGTCCTTTACAAACCTGGTGAGGTTCACAGTTGAGTCTAACCAGTGTGAGTTATAAGAGTTCCTCAAAAGTAACTATTGTGAAGTACTTTAAAAGAGTTTGTTGCATGTGCTTTATGTAATGTAGTGATCAAATTTGGCTTACACCCCTCCAGAGGCAGATGGTCCAAAAGAAATCCCTGAACACAAAGCTTAATACTGACCTCTTAACATACAAAAGCTGAAGAAACTAAGTGTTACAAGAACTTCATGAAGCATGGGCCTCATGTTACACTCAACTCAGGCAATGCAAAGGGAAATAATACTTCCCTCTGGAAACATTTAAATAATTCAACCAATAAAACACCAAAACAAAAAGGCATTTGGGAACTTGTTATAAATGGCAAAAGTATCAATGATAATGCCACCATCACTAATGAATGTAATAGTCACTTTGTGAAGTCAGTAGAAGGATTTGTGCAACTGTTGATTCTTTTCAAACAGCAGATACTAATGAAATTAGTGCTACAAAAATAATTACAAAATTGTAAAATTCAAATGATATTCCCTAAAAAATGCTGGGTTATTTTTTTCTACCCAACTGCTGGATTAGGGCTGTTGGGTCATTTTCTTGGGTTATTTTTACAGAGTTGGGTCATTTTTCTAAACCCTACGTCTGGGTCAACAGGTTGGGTTAGAGTTGGTTAGTTTCAAATCTAACATAATGATAGACATTCTCCCGCCTTTTTTCCCGTCTGCATTCTGTGTCAAATTGTCTCAAACAACTCAGTGAATTGGGTCAAACACAGACTCTTCAACAGTCAACGGTGGACATGACTCACCTCACCTACAGCTCCAGACAAACATCTGTTAAAGGTATTTAAACATGTTTATTACTTTATCTTTGTGATTTTATTTGAAATGTAACACAATTTAATCATTTTGTGCCAGTGCCATTTTGTGTTGTAATGTTACTAAATAAATGATAACTAACTAAATAAAAAAAGCTAGTTAGCTAGTCTTTAAATGTTAGTAACTGTTAATAACTACCTGCTTAAATACATGAACACTGTGTTTTTTTATGAGTCCTACATGAATCCACTTAAATTGGGTTTGATTTTATATTTTTCAATATTTTCCATTTGTCACAGTCAGTGCATTCCTAATATTTATCGTTAAAAAGATGTTTGCACAGGCCACACACTGCCCAGCTTTAGAAGAGAAACACAAGAACAAGGTTCATCTAAAGAAGACTTATTTTCATGAATCCTCAGTCCTGAGTTTCTGGCAGAGGTCTGACCACGGGTCAAGTTCACAAAAGGCTCGGATCAAGGCTGAAGTTGCTGCGTGGCCTTTCTGTAGCACAGTGTCCACCAGGTATCGGGCTTTGTCTTCTCTGCTATTCAGCCTTGTGCAACCTGCTTCCTCTGCAGTCAGAACCTTCTCCCGCTGAAGTTTATCCAGGATCTGTTTCAGCACCTCATCAGACACTCTCTGCACAAACTCTGGACGCACCGACCATAGCTGCAGCTGGGGACTTTCCTGGGGCCTCCTGTCTTCCCCCACAGTGACCTCTGAAACACAGAATCAGACCTGATCAGCTCCTTCATACACAATACAGACACACACAGCAGAGAACCAAACATACAGCTAAAGATGACATGTGACTGACCAGTCAGATCCAGCTTGTATCTCCAGACCTCTGTGTCCTCTGTGCTGCCCTCCTCTTTCACTGAGATGGAGACTAGACCACAGTCCGTTGGCAGGCACACCTCAAAGGACGGGTGGAAGTTGGGCTCATTGTCCATATCGAAAAGCGCCCACTGGAGGACAGCAGCAGATTTCAGTACTGGGGTAAACTAAACCAATGCCAGGTGTCCTCCTCTGCACCTCTGCCCCCTGCCACTCTGCCCCTGCCACACTGACCTCTGCCCCCTGCAACACTTGGGCGTGGGTTTGAATGAGTCATTAGGTCACATTAGACTGTGTTAGGGTCACATTAGACTGTGTGAAGTCATTAGTTGTGTATTATTAAGTAAAACCATGCTGCTTTGGTCAAATACACACTGTAGTTGTCGTAGCTGTTGTAACAGTAAGTATGAGCTGGACACACCCTGCAGTCAGTGTAAAGCCAGTGTAAAGTCGATGTCAAGCCAGTCTGAGCTGTCCTCACCTCAGGCTGGATCCTCTTCGCTGTGGGACAGGTCACTTTGTAACGTCTGTTTATGACCAGTTTACATTTGGAAGGAGCCTGAATGTACATTTTGGTGGTGCGCTGTTTCTTCTCCACCTGAAACAGGTTTATTAAGGAGTATTCCAGTGAAAGGTTAAACAAGCCCTGTGTGTGTGTGTGTGTGTGTGTGTGCGTGTGCAATTTACAATTTACTTTATTTATTTAAAACAAGGACAGTGCACAGAAAACATTGGACTCATAGAGAAAATATGCTCTGTGCCAGATTTATCTACAAGCTCCTTTCTATCCACAGTCCTTGAGCATTTACAAAATGCATAAAAAAAACATTTACACATTAAAAATACTCAAATTCATTGCCATCAATATCCTCTAAAATGTTCATTTACCGAATTCATCAGTATAATTAGTATAAAATACAATTTATCAGCAACATGACCATCAAGACAAATGTCATGTGTCAAACTCAAAACATTTACATCTACACAATACACCTGTAGTACAATCAGTCAAATTAAATGTTTGAAGGAGCTTAAGCCTTTACCCATAAGAGAAAGTGTGGTAGTTAGTGCAAGTTTTAAGTTCAGCTGGAAGCGAGTTCCAGTTTTTTGCTGCTGTGTATGAGAAAAATAACTGTCCCATTACAGAACGTTTAAAGGGAATGGTCAGATCAGAATTTACAGATGAACAGGATGTCCTAGTCATCTGCTCTGATCTTATCTGGAAGAAGCCTCTTAAAGGAGGCGAAGTAACGCTGTGGAGAATTCGATGGAGCAGCTGCATCTCAGAATAAAAAAATCATATTATGTTTGACGTGTTGTATCTATTCAGGCTGTTACAATAATAAAGTTATTATTATTATTATTATTATTATTATTTAAATAAAAAAGGGTTGCTTATAAAGAGTCTTTAATGTTTAGAGCATGTTTAAAGTGTGTGTGTGTTTAATGTGTTTATGTGTTTAATGTGTGTGTATGTGTGTTTAATGTGTCTGTTCATGTGTGTTTAATGGATGAATGAATAATAAACGCTCCGCACCTGGTCGAAGGAGATGTTCCTGGGCAGGAGGAACATGTTGACTTTGGGTTCTTGTAGTGTGCAGAAGAGCAGCACCTGCCCACTGATCTCCTTGTATTGGTCAAAGAACTTCATCAAGAGCCCAAACAAAGAGAGGCCAGAGACAGAGATCACCACATGGCTCTGAGTGATCTGCTCTGGCTCCATCAGGCTCAGTCCACTGTCACTGATGTGTGCCACAGACAGGTCCACCGTGGACAGGTCCACTGCAAATATGCAACAGAAAAAGTAAGAAAGAGGATGCAGAGGAAGGTCAGAGGAGCAGAGGAGAGGAGGAGAGGGATAGGTGGTCTAGAGGAGGGTCAGAGGAGCAGAGGAGTACCGTGCTCTGGTTCACAGTGCGGCAGGTGCAGTTCACACAAAGCTTGCTCTGGACACTCGATCTCATACAGAGGTCCTGCAGGAGTTCTGCCCGACGACTCCAGAAGCGCTTCATCCCATTGGACGATTCTGTACAGGAGCTCCACCTCCTTTGTCACCACAAACACCAATCCAGTGGAAGAGCATCTGAAAGCCCCAGACCCAGGGCATCTGAACCTGGATAGATCAAGAGTCTAACCCACAACCTCCTCACAGGATACCCACTCTTCCACACCACTGTATACTTTTACCTGAAGGAAACATGGGCAGACTTCAGCGACACCTCTGGGACGAAACCCATTGTTTCCTGCAAAATTCAGACATCAAAGTATATATATATATATATATATATATATATATATATATATATATATATATATATATATATATATATATATATATATATATATATATATATATATATATATACTGTGTATACTGTGTATACTGTATATGGACTGTGTTTTACCCTGTGTTGGGAGGGTCTGGGCTCTGGCTCCTTGGACACACTGGGAGAGATGCGTGGAGCACAGTCTCGAGTATCATGTGACCACTCTGACCAATCAGAGTGAGGGGAACTAGAGCAGAGCAGAGCGAAGTCAGAGCGAACGATTAAAAAGCTGTTTTTAAAACAACTGAAGGATTTTAAGGTGCGAAAAAATTTATGATCTACAAGTAGGTAAAAATCTGACCCTTTTGAAAACTGTAGGTGCCCTGTCAGCCCCTGTCAGCCCCTGTCAGCCGAACATGAGCAGTTTGTGATTACATTGTGCTCTATGGGAAAAATCCTTTCTGGACAGGAGGCATCTTTTCGCCACTATGGCAACTCAAGACAGCTACAAGCAGCAACACCTTATCCAGTTATTTTGATAGATCCATGCCCAGGGGTCAAATCCTGACCATAGACTCTTTATATAAATGGGCATGGCTAATGCACTAGCTGCCGTGTTCTAAGATGGAAGTGAACATGGAGGCTCTTCTGGCTCCTTCTGACTCTGGCTCCCATTGACTTACATTTGATATAATATTGTGTTCCCTCTCTCCCCACGCTCTGTACCTGCTTCTGTGAGCCTCGGTCTGTTTGTATTAACCCTCTCTACATGATCCTTTTATCTTTTTTATTCTTTTTTTTTTTTTCCTTTGCTGTTTTGTCCGTCAAAAAAAAAAAAAAAAAAAATCCTATTCCTAATACAGAGCTGGTTTCCAAATTCACTCCTGTAGCCGTTAGCAACAGGAGCTTCATTTGAGTGGCCCTAAACGCTGTGGGTGATGCCACACTCACTCAGTCCACTTCTTTAGTCTATGATCCTGATCAGCCTGTTATTCTGTCATTCTCTCCATTCATTTATGTGTCTACACTCCCACTCAAATTACTCTGTATTTCCCAATTTTCACTCGAGATTCCGGTCACGCAGTCATGTACACCTGTTGGCCAATCACTTGCTCTCATTTTGTAATTTCATGTCTATGGTCACATAATCTGGCGCTGCCTATTGGGTTTCTTTGATCATATCATGGTGATTCAGTCGGGTTAGATGCAGTGGAGGTGCCAGAGAAGAGCTGTGCAGCAGGTCTGTTTTTGGTTATTTTCCTTCTCTATTGCTTGTAATTGTGCGTGACACTCATTGGTTTAAATAACTGGCCATAACGGCTTGTCAAAGCCTGATCCCGTCAGATCTCAGAAGCTCAGCAGGGCTGGGCCTGGTTAGTACTTGGATGGGAGACACCGGGAAAATCAGGTGCCACAGGGGGGCGCCAGTCATAAAAACTGTTGTTGTGTCCTTAGGCAAAACACTTCACCTGCATTGCCTAGTATGGAAGTGGTGTGTGTGAGTGATGGTGGTGGTTGGAGGGGCTGATGGTGCAGATTGGCAGCCTTGCTTCTGTTAGTCTGCCCCAGGGCAACTGTGGCTACAGTAGTAGTTTACCACCACCGAGTCTGGAGTGAATGAATAATGCTCTGTAAAGTGTCTTTGAGTGTCCAAAAAAGCGCTGTATAAAACTGATGCATTATTATTATTATTAACTCATCGAGCCGTCATCATTATTTCCCGTCATATAGGCTCATGTAAGTAAGTAACTAAGTTTATTTTATATAACAGACATAAGTCACAAAGATGCTTCATGCATCATTATTCATTCACTCAGTGGTGGGTCATTCCACGCCATTTCACCAAATGAACCATGCACTTCAACCTCAAAAAATTTTGAAAAATGTACCAGCTGGTCCCTTTCTATCATGTACCAACCTTGTAAAGTTTTTGTGATTTCTGGTCATTACTTTTTAAGTTACAGCTCATTTTATGAGGGGAGTATGTGTCAATTTTCAGGCCCAAAATCGCATCATTTTTTCTCGGTCGTTTTCACAGGTCGATATCTCTGTAAGTATCACACATACAGGGCTGAAATTTTGTAGGCTTGTACTCCTCTACTCTGTGTTCAAAGAACATCTATCAAAAGTTTAGTATCTCAATTCATTGTCATTTTATATGAACTTAAAAATGAAAAAAACAAAAAAAAAAAAAAAACGTTCATTTCCGTGGCGTACCATGTTTAACCCCTTTTTAAACCTACTTGTAGGTGTAGGAGACCCTTAAATTTTTTTGAGAATCAAGATATGTACTAGGACTGTTAAAAGAAATCACCAAATGTTGAAAATTTTAAATAGGTTATGTGAGGGTCCTGTTAAAAACAAGAAAATGCAACATGGTCCGATTTTCACATGTAATTTATGGCATGTGGGTAGTGATAAAAAAAAAAAAAAAATTATAATTTTTATTTGAAAGATCAGAAAAAGACCTTTCATATGGTGCTAAATATATGTATTTTATGAGGCTCCTTCAATTTTTTTATTGTATCTTGAACATTCACATTTGAGGTTTTGGTCACAGTGCAAGACACAATGACACGAGTAAACAGTGACCATGTACTGTTTTATTCCAGCAGCTAAGGTCACTAAACATTTAAAGATTGAATCAAATGGTTTGATAATAATTTTGATGTGACAAGTTATCTGACATCCAAGAGAACAGCTGTAGATTATTCTCATATTAAAGAAACAATTAAGTCATGTTCAACAATATGATATTGTCTTCTCTTAGTTGTGGACGGCACATTGATGTTCAAAACTGCAAACGTTACAATAGATTTAGATGTGCAAGGAACTCAAACATCCGGAAGCACCCAAGAGGTGAGGAGACAGTTCCCTATCGTGTTCAGATCACCTGAGCAGGTAAAGAAAGTCTCATGGAGCCTTAAATGGAAAGTGTTAAGGTTGTCTATTTAAGGGAAATTTCAGGATTTGTGGGAATTTATCGCATATAAAAAATCATATTCATCTTTATTCTGGGGTGAACCTATATAGTTCCAAATGTCAACAACCCCAGTCAACATGGTCAACTGAACCATCTAAAACCAGTCCACCAGGATGAAAAAGCCTTCACAGGTTGAGGAGAATTCTGGTAGTCAAGCTTGTGGGGACTGTCCATGCTGTCGTGACCTCGGCCAGAAAATCAAAAAGCTTTGGGACAAACTGCAGGTTTATGAAGATGTGCCCACCAATACTGATGATGAATAAGACATACATGTTCTGTGTTCTGGGTTTTTACATAATTTGTAACACATCCTGTTGATTCATTCTTGTTCATTTTTCATGTTTGGGAGCTTTAGCTGCTGGAATAAAACATAGTACATGGTCACTGTTTACTCGTGTCATTGTGTCAAATGTGAATGTTCAAGATACAATTAAAAATTGAAGAAGCTTCATAAATCACATATTTTTGGTAGCATAGGAAAGGTCTTTTTCTGGTCTTTCAAACAAAAACTATTCAAAAAATTTTTATCACTACCCACATGCCATAAATTCCATGTGAAAATCGGACCATGTTGCATTTTCTTGTTTTTAACAGGACCCTCACACATGACCTATTTCAAATTTTCAATATTTGGTGAATTCTTTTAACAGTCCTAGTACATATCTTGATTCTCAAAAAAAATTAAGGGTCTCCGGCACCTACAAGTAGGTTTAAAAAGGAGCTGGGGAAGGGGAAATGAACAAGTTTTTTTTTTTTTAAAGTTCATGAAATGACAATGAGTTGAGATACCAAACATTCCATAGATGTTATTTGAACACAGAGTAGAGGAGCACAAGCCTACAAAATTTCAGCCCTCTATGTGTCAGATATCGACCTGTGAAGACAGCTGAGAAAAAAATGATGCGATTTTGGGCCCATAAATGGACACATACTCCCTTCACTAAATGAGCTGTAACTTAAAAAGTAATGATCGAAAATCACTAAAACTTCACGGAGTTAGTACATAATAAAGGGACCAGCTGGTAATTCTTTCAAATTTTTTAAAACACATGATGAAATGGCGTGGAATGACCCTGGTGGTAAACTACTTGCAGACTGATCTCAGTCCAGAAAAGTGCAGAAAAGAAAAGATACTGCACAGAACTCTCAAAGTCCCAGGCGTCTGGTAGAGGAACTGAGCTGGATAAGGGTGAGAGACCAACCAACATGGAAGGTGAGGAACACGTTGTATATAATATATATATATATATATATATATATATATATATATATATATATATATATATATATATATATATATATATATATATATATATATATATAATAATCTATCTATCTATCTATCTAGATAGATAGATATTTAGATATATATACACACACGCAAACACATACATACACATGTAATATGTACTATATTACTGACCTTTGTGAAAATATTTTGAGGTGCTCTTGATAAGAGTCTGTTTCATTGAGCGATTCAGCCGTATTTGGTCCTGTGTACTGAAACAAAGCACACACAGCACACACAGTCAGCTCCAATCTCCTAATATATATATATATATATATATATATATATATATATATATATATATATATATATATATATATATATATACACTATACTGTATACTAGTCTTAAAGTGAGTTTATTTAGTCAAATATAAAACTGCTCTGATCATGTATAAAGCAAGCAGCATCAAAAGGCCCTCACCCGGCACACATGCCCCTCCTTCGCGAATTCCCCGACATGCTATTGTTGTTTCCCGAGAGCTGCCCAGGCCAACACATCCTCCACCAGAAAAATTACATAGTGCACCTTAAAAATTTTTAGGAGTCTTTGCGCCCCTGCTGGGCAACCGTGAAAAACGCCCCATGTCAGTAATATATATTTTTTGTTTCTGGTCGTTCATAAAAAAGCAGTTTTGCAAAAAATTCTGCAATGCTGCACATTTCCAGCCTGATCCATAAAGTCATTGACACCCATGCTATATTTTTTACGGTGTCACCATAGCAATGACATAAACTTTTGATGTTATTCCGATGGCAAAATCAACAAATCGCACAAACTTTATCAATTTCACTCAAATTTGAATCATGAGTGGACACCCTGAGCCTGAACAGATTGATGTAAGGACATACAAAAATGGATGTAATAGTGCCCCCTAGATAATATGTATGGAACAATAAAGTTTTATTTGTCATAGATATAAAAAATTTGGTACGCACATTTGTGCCTCGATCAAAATACTCAGTGACACCGACACCCCATTTACATGGGCCTTGCCAATGGGATGTCCTTACACAAACTTTTGGTAGCCAGATGCATTATGGTAATGACCAAATATCTGTAATAATTGATTTATTATGATTATGATTATGATTATGATTATTATTATTCATTTATTTTATATGTAAAAATTTAGAAAAATGGCAAGGTTAAGTTAGGAGTTAGGGTTGGGGCTATGGTGAGGATTACGACTAGTAGGGTTATGTTTAAGTTTAGGCCTAGTGTTAGGGTTGAGGCTAGGAGTTAGAGTCGTAGTTGGGGTTTACGGTTATTAGGGTTAGTGTAGGGTGTGTTGTTTGAGGGTGTGACGCATGTGAGGGCCGATTATTGCCGCCAGCTATATTCTTTTGTTCTCATTGTTGTGTCCTCATTGTAGGACAAGTTCAGTTTCTCTTCTGTTTTGTCTCATATCATTTACCAGCGTCACAGAGGAATTTTTATCCCCCAGTGCAAAACCAGGAAACAGAGGCTCAGAGAAGGACGACGAGAAGGTCCAGAGGTGGAACAGTTCTCCATCAGAGGAGACCTCATAGAAGGACAGAGCTCCAGCCTCAGAGTCCAGGAACACGCCCACTCTGCCAGACAACACGCCTTCTTTACTAGATGACACTTCCCCTCTCTCTGAGTGGTGGAGTCGTGTTGCGTTGCTCTTGTGCCAGACGAAGTACACTCCATCACCATAGATCCTCAGACTCCAGGAGTGATCATTGTTTCCAAACTCACACTCCCGTTCCTGTCCCCTCCGTCTGATCTCTTTGTAACTCCCTGCTATAACAACCCTCCCGCTCCAGTCCACCTCCCAGTAACAGCGCCCCCTCAGGCCAGTGCGGCTCAAGACCTGAGCGTGGACTGTGAACCTGTCTTCGTGATCTTCATACTTCTGATCCACACCCACACGTGTCACACTCCGATGGTCCTCAGACAGAAGCAGGCGTCTGTGAGCTGTGTTTGGGTCCAGAGAGACCTTACAGGAGTCTGAAACACAAGCACTTCATCTCATTTTTTTGTTGTGATTGTGTCTATGTTTAGTGGACCACACCTGTCACACATCTGTCACACATCAGTCACGCATCTGTCACACACCTGTCATGCCCCTGATTTGAAATGTTTAGATTTTAACCCTTTGAAACAGAGTGAATTGAATGATCTGAGCTCTTCACTGCACTTTACTGTGTGTGGGAAACAAAACAGACTCACATTTCCTCAGACCTGGAACCATCCAGCGCTCTCCAGCAGGATCCAACCTGAAACACACAGGTCCAGTTTAGACTAGACCAGGACCAGACCAGGGTCAAAGACCAGACCAGGGCCAGACCCTGACCAGGATCAAAGACAAGAGACCAGAGACCAGACCTGGACCAGACCTGGACCAGACCAGGGCGGACCAGAGACCAGAGACCAGAGACCAGAGACTAGAGACCAGAGACTAGAAACCAGAGAACAGGACCAGACTAGAGACCAGACCAGAACCAGACCAGGACAAGACAACAATGTTCTCTCATCTGACAGACAGCAGGGGGTGGTCTCACCTGACAGACAGCAGGGGGCGCTGGTCTCGTAGAGCAGTCAGGAGCTCGGCAGAGGGTCCTGGATGGTTGTAGCTCAGGTCTAACTCTGTGAGGTGGGAAGAGGCGGAACTCAAAGCTGAGGCCAGAGCAGCCCCACCCCTCTCTGAGACCAGACATCCAGACAGACTAAAGACACAACATTACACACATGTGGACACAAGGGGGCAGAGTGCATCAAGGGAGTCTCACCTGAGTGTCTCCAGTCTGCAGGTGGTGCTCTTCAGTCCAGAACACAGCAGCTCCACTCCTGAGTCCTGGAGGTCGTTGTGACTGAGATCCAGGTGTGTAAGACTGGAGGAGCTGAGGACTGAGGCCAGAGGAGCACAGCTGTGAGGGGACAGACCACAGCCACAAAGACTGAGGACAGAGACTGACATTAGAGACTAGAACCTCCACACAAGCATTTAAATACAGTCTAAGGAGAGAGAGGAACATTAGAGACTAGAACCTCCACACAAGAGTTTAAATACAGTCTAAGGAGAGAGAGGGACATTAGAGACTAGAACCTCCACACAAGAGTTTAAATACAGTCTAAGGAGAGAGAGGGACATTAGAGACTAGAACCTCCACACAAGAGTTTGAATACAGTTTGGACTCACAGGGTTTTGGTGGAGGCTCTGACCACCGGCAGCAGACCTAGGAGAGCTGTCTCTGAGTTCTGGTATTTCCTCAGGTCAAACTCCTTCAGGTCTGAATCTGAGGACAGTAAGACAAAGGACAGAGCAGACCACTGAGCAGCAGACATGGTTCCATCAGCGAGGTATCTTCTCATGTTCTTCTGTATCTCCTGCACTAGACTTTGGTCATTGAGCTCGTTCAGACAGTGGAGCAGGTTCAGACTTCTCTCTGAAGGCAGGCCCTTTTCATCCAGCTTCTGTTTGATGTACTTTACTGTCTCCTGATCGGTCCGGTCACTTTCTGTGTGAGTCAGCAGACCCTGCAACAGCCTCTGATTGGTCGGCAGAGACAGCCCCAGGAGGAAGCGGAGAAACAGGTCCAGGTGTCCGTCTGGACTCTGTAAGGCCTGGTCCACAGCAGAGCGGTAGAAGGCCTCAGGGTCTGGACTCTCAGAGGTATGTGTTGCCTCCAGCAGGTTCTCTCCAGAGCTGTAGAAGGTCTGATGGACGTGAAGAGCAGCCAGAAACTCCTGCACACTCAGATGAATGAAGCAGTAGACCTTGTCCTGGTACAGGCCTGGCTCCTCTCTAAAAACCTGTGTGAACACTCCGGAGTACACTGAGGCCGCTGCAGCGTCCAGCCCACACTCGCTTAGGTCACTCTCGTAGAAGATCAGGTTTCCTTTCTGCAGCTGCTCAAAGGCCAGTTTTCCCAGAGACTCCACCATCTCTCTGGTCTCTGGAGTCCAGTGAAGTTCCTCCCCTGATCCCTCGTGGTACTTGATGTTCTTGATTTTGGCCTGCACCACCAGGAAGTGGACGTACATCTGTGTGAGAGTCCGGGGCAGCTCTGGTTCTGTTTGTTTCAGAAGCTTCTGTAGAACTGTATAGAGGATCCAGCAGAAGATCGGGATGTGGCTCATGATGTGGAGGCTGCGGATGCTCTTGATGTGGGAGATGACAGCTTTGGCGTGGTCTTTAAACCTCTTCCTGAAGTACTGCTCCTTCTGCAGGTCAGTAAATCCTCGCACCTCTGTCACCATGGAGACGCACTCGGCTGGGATCTGACTGGCCGCCGCAGGGCGCGTGGTTATCCAGAGGTGAGCAGAGGGAAGCAGACTGCCCCTAATGAGGTTCACCAGCAGCACATGCACTGAGGCAGACTCTGTGGCGTCTGTCAGGACCTGGGTTTGGCTGAAGTCCAGAGGAGGTCTGCACTCGTCTAGACCGTCAAAGATGAAGAGCACCTGGAGCTGTTGGAAGCTACAGAGATCTTTGGATGGACTGAAGAAGTGGTGCAGCAGCTCCACCAGGCTGAACTCTGTGTTTCTGAACACATTGAGCTCTCTGAAAGTGAAGGGGAACAGCAGCTGGAAGTCCTGATTGGCCCTGCCTTCAGCCCAGTCTAGACTGAACTTCTGAGTCAGCACTGTTTTCCCCACGCCAGCCACACCCTTCGTCAGCACCAATCTGATTGGCTTTGGTAAATGTGGGTGGGCTTTAAAGAGATCTTCACATGTGATGGTGATCTCCGGAGCGGTCGGTGTCCTGGACTTGAACTCCATGTGTCTGACCTCATGTTCCTGGTTGACCTCTGAGGCTCCACCCTCTATGATGTAGAGCTCTGTGTAGATCTGGGTCAGGGGGGCGGAGTCTCCTGCTTTAGCCACACCCTCAAACACACGGCTGAACCTCTGCTGCAGATGCCTCTTCAGTTTATCTCTGAATCCAACTTTACTCCCTTTAAACAAGATGCAAGTGTTAGAATGTGAATGTGAATATTTTACATGGGGAGGGCATCTGACACACAGGGAGGGCATATGACACACAGGGAGGTGTAACCCATGTGATTTAAAGTGCCCACACCCTGTCACTGCACCCGCCTGTCATATTACCAAGAATGCCTCTCACCACTTCCTGCCCTGATGCTTCTTGCTACCGCTCACTGTAGATATCGTGCTGGTTGTGCTCTTGAGGCGGCATGCCAATTGTCAGTATCAACTTCTACTTTGCTTTCAGTATCAACTTCTACTTTGCTTTCTTCCAGAGTATTCAACTCCCCGCTCAGTAGTCAGGTTTATTCTTTGTGATGGCAACTCTACTCAACTTCAGCTGTGAGTCTGTGATGGCGAGCTGTGAACACCCCACCTTGTGTTAGGAGATCAAACTATTTTTCTGTCTTGCTGGATCTAAAACCAAACTCTAAGAACTTTGAATCTCAATCTAAACGGCTAATGGACTAAACCCCAAATGGACAATATATGATCACATAGGACTCTTGCATTGAACTGAAGTTGCTTGTGTTTTGTTTTTGCTTTACTGTATTAAGTCTTTAGTCTATAAGTCTTTATTATTCTTATTATTGCCAACCTAATACTAATACATTCTTAAATTCTTCATATTATCAACTTTATTTCATGTCCATTTTCATTCACTTACCCTATGGTTCTTTAGCAAATCTGTTTCTGACAAGTTAACTATTGCAATCAGTCTGCCTAGCCAACAACGTTACAGAGGGCATCTGACACACAGGGATACAGGATAATGGGTGGCCATCTGGAGGTTCTTACTGCTGAGCAGGCGCTGGGCCAGATGCTCCTGGTCCATCCTCTTCAGGAAGTCCAAGGTGATGTTCAGAACCTCTCTGCTCTCATCCTCCTCACTCTCGGAGCATTCTGGGTAATTTGAAGCCAGGAGCCTGTGGAGCCTCTGCAGCTGCTGTTGTACAAACCTCAGGACCTGCTCCTCCAAAACCTGGAACCACACACTGCCTGAAGAAGTGTTCTGAGTGTGACATCACCCACAGCATTCAGCTCCAAATGAAGCTCATGGAGGCCGCAATTTAGAGCGGCTACTACAGTCTGAATGTGATCCCAAAGAGCCAATCAGGAGCAAAGCTGTTGAAGGGAACTACAAAGGAACCAGGGCTGTCTCCCCCAACCCCTAGACCACACATACACAGTGTGTGTCTCTGTCTCTGTGTGTGTGTGTGTTTGTGCGTGCGCGTGCGTGTGCGTGCGTCCATAGCACCGACCTGGAAGATGGAGTCCAGCTCAGCTTGAGGCTCCTGACCAGAGGGAATGCTCGGGCCTTCATCTCTGTTGACCAATAAAAACAGAGTCCTGGTTTAGTCCTGGTTTAGTCCTGGTTCAGTCCTAATTCTAGTCCATACCTCTGATGTGAGTCTTTAAACTCTTGATTCCAGTCTTTGGAGGAGTCACTTGTCAGAGATTCTGCAGTGGGTCCATAGGGGGCACTGTCGTCTCTGAGGAACATTCACAGATGTATTATATATAATGTAAAACAGATTAAAGGTTTGGAGTGTGAAGCATAAACACATAACATCTTTAAGCGGGTTCTGATGGATGTAAACGTGTGCATTTATCTGAACGGCTCTCGCTGACAGTCGGCAGAAAAACGCCAAACTCCAAACGCCATGACAATGCTTTGAATCTGATCTGAAGCTGAATGAGACCAAAAGTCAGACTTGACCTAAATCCAGAGGAGACAAAAGCACAAACATCTTTCCCTCCACAAATGCTTCTTTGGTGAAGTACGTCTGTCTGCTGCTCTGTGATTGGTCCACCCCGGCAAGTTTGAACCTGTCAGCGGGAGTGAGGAAGGACTGTCTAGAGTTTGTGAACTCACCAGTATGGCTGGAATCCATCTTGTGGGCAAGATTAGTACAGAGGGAAGAGCTTTTGTCAAGCAAAGATGTCTGTGCTTTTTTCTCTGCTGGATTTTCCTAAAGTTTGCTTTATTGAAGCTTATTAAATCAATGTTGACAAAAGTAGCACAAAGCCCTCGTGTCCCCCAAACATACTCCTGACATCAAGCTGTGTCCAAGCCCCCATGAAGGCAGGGGGCATATTTATAAGTGAGAGGAGGGAGAGAGGAGGGGGATTGTAGTGTCTTTCCTTTCACTTAATGGATCAGAATCAACGGAAAAAGTTCTGTGTCCCAAATCAGACTCTTGTTCTTGGGCGCTGTAGCTCCTCTTGTTTAGTCACATCTTTAAAAACATCACACTTTGACTCTGAGTCCATTTTCCGTGATGTCATTGATCCACTGATCTAGCCTCAGAGTCACCGGGAGCACAAAGCACCACTTCAACCTCAGGCCTGATTTAGCTTTGGTCACACTCTATATAAAGCCTTTTGTCAGACTCTGAACCTATACACAGTCTTTGGTCAGACTCAGTCTTATTTCTGTCAAGGACTGAGTTGAGGCTTGAGTTGGAGTTAATTCCAGTTCAAGATTATAGGGTAAGTCGACTTAAATGCCTTTGATGGAATAGCCCCTTTAACTTGTGAGGCTGCAGTGGTCTGCCATCCTGGTAGACCATAGTGTGACTGTAACACTGACCTGAGCTTTGCAGAGGCTCCACTTTGGTCTTTTTTAAAGTCGATGCCCAAGTCTTTGGAGAAGCTACTGCTCAGGGAGACTCCGCTGGGGCCAGGACCTGCTTTAGACCTGGAATAGTCCTGGTTTAGTCCCGTTTCAGCTCTGGGTCTATGTCCAGACCCTGACCCTGCTCCGGAGTTCTCCATTTTTCTGCAAACATAAAAATAAAAAAAAAGTCTTTATTAAGTTTTATATTTCACATTTTGCGCTTGCCTGTTTCCAAAAAGACAAACTGAACAAACTCCTGTATGTGCTTTGCTTTTGGATCGACTGAATGAGGGGAGTGCATTTCCGAGGTTTGAATGAAAACATTTCAAATCAAAGTAGAAAACAGGAAGAATGAAACATATTGTGAATGGCTGATGTCTCTCGGCTCTCCTTCTGTGGGCTTGACTTTCAGCTCTGGACCAATGAGTCTGGACCGCACTTGTAGCTGAGTCATGAGTTTTTTAAAGTCCTGTGCTGTGCTGGAGCTCCACGCCTCTGCTGCACCATTGCACTGTCAAAGTTTATGATCATTAAAGCAGGTGAGATGGTGGCACCACTGGACTCTGCCCTAATAACACTCACAGAGGTTTGTAGAGAGAGAGAGAGACAGTTGATTCTGTGAGAGACACCCTCGCAAAGACAAACCAAGTAGCACCTAAAACAACACTGGAATTTACTTTTGCCGAATCCCCTGCTGATAGATAGAGCAAATGGGAAAAGATCAAAAGACTTGGTGTGTCACTCCTCTTGGACTGATGCCAACTTTTACGACCAATATCTGCTACAATAAATTTCACCCTTCTGCTAACTTCTTATCAGCTAGACTTTGTAGTGCCCTGCAACATACTGGCCTTGACACCGGTTTGTGGACTAATCCAATCCATTTCCAGTACAATCTTCCTGATGTAATGATTTCCTTATATTGGTGATAATGTTTTATTTTTAATTACTTATTGTCTTACAGGAAAATGACTTAGTATCTCATTAGGCTGAATCAATGATCTCAAAGTAATTCAGTTATTAGCCTGAATAAGCCCACAGGTGATCTTGGTGTATTTTTGATATAATGGAGTAAAACTAAGAATGACTGTGTAACGGGAATTCAACTTTAAGACATAAACAGAATAATAGACAAAGTAACGCCTACAAACCTAAAGATTCAGATTTCCAAGTTATGCCCACTGCAGCTGTGAAGAAACCACGGCGCAAGCGTTTTTACTCTCTCTGTTCTATACTGCTCTATTTTTAATTTTTATTTTTTTAACATCTATCTTTCACTTCCTTTGTTTTTTTTTTTTTTTTTTTCTATGGGTTTTGGCCACAGTGTGCATCTCTAGCCGAGGAGACGTAATGCTCACAACCTTTTGGGACACAAAGGAGCGCACTGATGCTTTAGCCAGAAACATAACTTTTATCTAATTTTCCTTGGTTCCAAAATATTTAACTGCTGCATCACTTTTACGTTTATGTTAAGTTACTAGTGACTTTTTGTTAAAGACACGCAAGTTGAGAGACTCAAGAATTGGCCCTTCTAACACTTTGACGACCGCTGTTGGCACCCTGGGCGACTCACTGCCACACACAGCTGCTCCGGACCTCCATGTGGACCGCTGTGCCTATGACCCAGCCTGAGATGACACCTCCCCACGCCTGTGACCCTGCCCGAGGAGATGCTACCCTGCATCTGTACCCGGCCAAGATGGTTTTGTGCTGTGTCTGTGCCCCGCATCATAGCATCTGAGTCCCAGACCAGTAACAGCGACTCCACCGGTACCCTGCTCTGGACCTGAACCTGGTCTTTCGCATTCACCTGACCAGAGAAACTGATCAGTCTGCTGACCAGATGACCTATGCATTTATTGGTAAGAGACCTGATCCAAGCAGTGATCGTGATTTTGCAGAAATTGGCACAGAATATCAAAATTGCTTCCTCTGCCCCTTCAAGCTTCAAGTTTCAAGACCTCTACGCTATTTAAAGTTGAACCGCCATATTTAACTACCTCACGTTGTTAACATTCGGTGCACAAGTGCTTGTTTGAATATCGTAAGGAGAACTTTGAAGTATTAAGTGCTTAATCTTTGCCTGCTTTGATAGAATAAACCACACCAAAGAATTCTGGTTTTAGTGAGTTATTGAGTAATTTATTACTTAAGTCCCTAACTGGGTACTTCCCTCCTTCAGACTGGCAGATTTGTGATGACCATGGTTCCGTTTTCTCAAATTCTTAGGAGTTTTGGTCCTCCGCATACTATTGTTATAATTTTAACACTAAACCATTAAACAGATATCTCACTTACACAATTCCACACATAGACACACTACTGGTTCTATAGTCCATGCTAAAAGAGCAGTTTAAGGCGCTGGATTTCTTCTCCGTCATTTTCTCTGTTTTAGTTAGTTTAGTTTAGTCTAAGGACACAAAAACAGCATGCACAGATTGAGGTCTCTAACCCCCTGGTGCTCACATCGGACCCCCATCCAAGTACTAACCAGGCCAACTCCGCTTAGCAAAAGAGTAAGCTCAGATCAGACATCTCCAGGTAGAAGAACAGACACACATAGAGTGTCTGTGGATTTGAGGAGCAAAAATCTGGACCAAAAGATCTTAGTTGAGGTCAGAGCAATGGCCCTCGAAATACTCTCTGCACGTCCCTAGAGCCACTTGTGTTAAAGACTGTTACAGCAGAGAGACATCAGCATTGTAACAGTTACACCAGGTCAGATCTCTTACACCATATCAGGTCGCTTACATCAGATCATGAAATCCTACTGGTTTAAAGAAGGTTCTAGGTAAAGAATTTTGAAGATGTTTGCACGACAGCATGGCGCGGATGAGACACGCTGTCTGGCAGGCAACGTATTCTCTCGCAACAAACCTGAGATATTTAAAACCAGCGATGATAAAGTTCTTGTGGAAGATGAACTTTTGAATGTCATAGTTGTGAAAATGAGGACAATGAGTCACCATGAAATTGTATTGCTTGCAATAATTTTAGCTTGAAGAGCATTGAATCCTCTAAGAAAGTTCTGCTTGAGGTCTGCACTAATACCTCACAACGCTGTTACGCACAAAGGCGCACTAAAGGACATCAGTAATATGAAACTGTGCTTAAGAGTGCTACATGATATCTTGGTATATCTCCCCCATGTAAGGGGAAGATTTACCAAGATTCGTCTTGCACTATCTGGATTATTTGCCTCTGGTGTCCTTTAATCATATTGATGTCTTAGAGCTACTAACTTGGATGGAGCAATTGAACATGAAAAAAGCTTACTGAGGAGCAAACAAGGGTTTGTGAAAATTATATATGTAAATATGATTCTGTTGTTAAGGTTTTAATGATAAGAAATGTGCTATTTTGAATGTATACGTGTCTTATGAGTCACATAAATTGGAAGATGAATTTTTAAATAAGCATGCAATGAATCATTTATTGACGATAACAGTTCAACTTCTGTGTTCGTTAATGGAGATTGGAGATCTGACTTGTCAGATAAATCATTTGCTTTTGGGAATCTCCTTTTGCAGTTTTGTGAAGACAATAACTTAATTTTATCAAGCAAAATACTTTTGCCAGGCCCTCACCTCATGGTTGGATCATTGTATTTGCATAGCAGATGCCCATGCCTCTTTGAGTACTATTGACATTTTGTATACCTTTTCCACTTCTGATCATATACCTCTAGTCATGTCTTTAAATGTGGATAACATACTAGTACTTGTGATGAAAGAAAATGATGGCCACTCAGCTAGACTTGACTGGTCTAAAGTAACTTAAGTCATACATTATTCCCTCCATGTGTTTTACTGACTTTTCAACTCATGAGTCCTGCCCAATTCTATTATTTTTGTTGTTTTGGTTCCTGTCATTAAAGACAAGGCTGTTCATTTAAATAGTTTGCTGAACTACAGACCTATTGCCCTTGCCAGCATTCTCTCCACAGGTTTAGAAAACATATTGCTCGCAAGATTGGAAATGTATGTTTTAACTAATGACAGTCAGTTTGGATTCAAAAAGGGACATGGAACTGATATGTGTATTTATTCACTGAAAGAAATAGTTGGGAAATATCTTTGTTTGAATTAATCTATATTTCTGTGTTTTATTAATACCACCAAGGGATTTGATAGAGTAAACCACAACAAATGAATTTTAAAATTAGTCAGTAGAGGGGTGCCAAAATATTTGATTCAAATTTTAGTGTTCTGGTATGCAAAGCAATTAATGAGAATGAAACGGGACAACAGAGGCCATTCATGTGAGTGACCTCTTTTTAGTTCATGTATATATTGAGGCACTGTCTACAGAGTTAAACAATTGTAAAACAGACTGTGTTGTTGATCAGCCATCGCTGGAATGAATCTCCAAGAATCACCTTAGTTTGGCTTTGCTGCTTTTCCCCTTGTCTTCTTCTTTCAGCGACCTCAAAAACAGACTTTCTTTTGTGGTTAACTGCTCGTAGATTCTTGTCTGCCATTGCAACAAACTTTGTGCTAACTGTGAGGGAGATATAGGTTAAAAAAGCCGCTAAGAACTGTTGCGTTGGTGGAGTAAACAGCGTCTGTGCGTCTTGTGTCTGTGGACTGCGTGACAGTCGTACGTAAACCACGTACCGGCAGCGCACAGGCAAGTCAGTTACGCTAGAAACGTAGGGAGTTTGATTGACAGCCTATCAGCTAACAGATAACGAGGCAGTTTCGTTATCTATTGGCAAATGTTTAGCCCCACCATGTCCAGAGTTGATGAATTTTTATTCTCTTTTTTTTGGTCATCATAATTACAAGGCTACTGCATCTCTACATCTATTTGAAACAAAAAAAATCCTCCATACAACCTTTAAGTATAATCCCACAAAGAGTAACATCATGACTGTGAGGAGTAACGAGGATAAAAATATGAATTTTCCTGTCTTCAAATGATGTGATCAGTCTCTTGAGCCCTCTAAAGAGACCAGAGACCTTGGTCACTTTGTGATAGATGATTGGCAGGATGACAGAGACATCAAGAGACAGTGTTGTAAACTGTATGCCAAGGCAAATATGCTGCTAAGGAAATGTAGTACGTGTTCTCATGATATTTAATGTTCTCTGTTCAGAGACTATGGTACTCTACTGTGGACCTTCTGCAGGCTCACTGTGGCCTACAATGACGCCTTTAGGCTTCTTCTGCAAGTGCCCAGGTGGCACATTGCCAGCCAGCTGTTTGTGGACGCTCACACCCCTACATGAGGCACTGTTTAGACATTTAATGTACACATTTATGTAGTGCCTGGAGGTGTCTGAAACTCCATCGTAATGACTGTGACCAATCTTTAAATGAGCTCATGCTGTTTATATCTCTGCTCTGAGAAAGCACTGGGCACAGAAACTCCACACTTTTTAATTCACTTTATGGACTAATTTGGGTGCATTGTATTTTTTTTTCCTTTTTGTATCCAGTTTGTCTTTTAAATTATGTACCAAATAATATTTTTGTCTGAAATAAACATTAATAAAAGGCAACTCTTACCTGCAGCTCGAAACACGACTGATTCCTGTGAAGCAGTTCACCTGAGCAAAGTCCACAGAGCATGTGTTTTATCAGCTACACACACACGTATGGTGTTGTTGCTCTGCTGTCTCTCTCTTATATTTATAACTGCTACAAATGAATGGAAGTCATTGGGAGTCAATGGGAGTCAGTGTGCGACCCCATTTATTTGCTTATTTAGCTGAGCCCCTATGGGGTGTAGGGCCTGTTGCTTTCAAAATGATGAGTGCTTTGGCTCTCATCTTGCACACAAGATGATTTAAAAATATATATTATTATGGCCATGCCCCCTGATAAAGTACAAGTCTGCCATTTTGGGTTGAACATTCTGAAATACTGAGTCAACATTTTTGGTTTACATGCTTCAAAGCCACAAATTTCCATTGGAATTTTTTTTTTTTTTTCCAATGGGTCAGTCCACGTCAGTTCAACCAATGAGTTAAACCCTACTTTGCCAAATTTTGATGAAAATTGGTATGTAGGTAAATCATAGCCGGATAAGCCAAAATTTTTTATTTTAGTTCGATTGGACCAAAGGTTTCCGAGATATCACAATTTAATTTTTAATTTCAAATTGCATTTATTCAGCAACTACTGGTCCAATATCAAAAATGAAGGTATCTCCTGAAAGGGGAAATCATACGGATTCCAAACCTGACATTCATGCAGATTGTGCATTTGAGTACTTTTGAGATGAATTACCTTTTGACCTATATTTTGACCTTGAAATTGACAATAAGGGACATGCCTGACCACAGTGACACCAACAGAAAAAAATTAGCCCTATATGTCTACTACAACATATAACATCTTCAGACATGCCAAATTTCCATTCAGAGTATACGGCTTGGTCATGTTTGGATCCTTTATGATTTCCCCTTTCCAGACATACCTTGGTTATTGGACCAGTAGTTGCTGAGTAAATGCAATTTGAAATTCAGCGACCACGCAAAAAAGTGAAAAAAAAAAGAAATTGTGATATCTCAGCAATCGTTATCCGATCATGCAAAAATTTTAGATTTTGGCTCTTTTCGCTGTGACTTATCCATACACCAATTTTCTTTGCAATTGGAGAATGTGAGGGTCCAAATTGCAATTTTTTGGGGTGAATTGAGGTGGAACAACCTCAGTGTCCTGATTGCACAGTCAAAGCTTGGTTGGGCTCAAATTTGAATCAGTTGTAAAACTTTCTTGATGAAGCCTACTTATTGTGAAAGAATAAACAGAACACAAGAAAATTTTGCATGGAGGGTGAAAAAAAAAAATATTATATATATATATATATATATATATATATATATATATATTTATTTTTTTTTTTTTTTTTTGCTACACATGAAGTATTCAGTGGCAGCTTTACTTTTATGCACAGCGGATTTTAAGCTCCACAAGCATTATGGCGCACCAGAAAGAGATGAGGCAACTTTATTGAACTGCCCACATTAACAAGTCTCCACGCAGCCAGGGATTTGATTCCCTGACGAGGAGTTTATCTATCCTTTACAAACCTGGTGAAGTTCACAGTTGAGTCTAACCAGTGTGAGCTATAAGATTTCCTTTGTTTTATGAAGTACCTTAAAAGAGTTTGTTGCATGTGCTTTATGTAATGTAGTGGCCAAGTTTGGCTTACACCCCTCAAAAGACTTAGACAACTTGACCTACCTTTCTCTCAGAAATGGAGTCCACCTTGCAGCACCAATAAGAACAATGCCAGTTCATTGTTTTTCTCCACAAGAAATAGAAAATCTCCACTGAAAGCAGTGAGTGCAGCAAATGGTAATATTGTTGATTTAGTCCTTCTAACTGGGAATCTGTGATGAATCAAATCATGTTAGTGGCTGATGCGAAAGCTAAGGTTGGGTTTAAGGTCAGCCTAAATTTGGTTGCAGGAAGTGCAACGTGAATGGTTTCTGTAGTGTAGTGGTTATCATGTTTGCATAACATGCAAAAGTTCCCCAGTTCAAAACTGGGCAGAAACACGCACAAGCTCTTTGTTGAGAACTTGGCTGGAACCGTTCAAAAGAATATGGCAACTTCATCAGGAATCATTCTCAGATTTGCAGTCAGTGATGCATAGTACTCTACTGCAAGTGCTAGAGCTAGAACAATGTGAAAGGAGATCAAAACAGTCACCTTGTTCAAAGCTCAATGCAAGTTAATATTCTAAGGTTTAGAGGCAGATATGCATAGTTTTCTACTGTAAAATCATGTGAGTGGCTGATGTGAATGCAGAACTCGGAATTAAGGTCAGCATAAGTTTGCGTGCAGGAAGTACCCTGTGTATGGTTTCTGTAGAGTAGCGGCTGTCACATTTCCATAACATGCAAAAGGTCCCCACTTCGAAACTGGGCAGAAACACAGGCTACTAATTTAGTGTTTGCTCAATACTTGGCTGGAATTATTCCAACATTTACGGCAAATTCAAAAAAACGTTATAAGGTTTACAGGCAGATATGCATAGTTTTCTACTGCAAGTGCTGGTGCTACAACAATGTGAGAGGAGAACAAACTTACAAGAAAAGTGGTCCAGTTTTCAAAGAACGTTAACTGCCTTTTCTCTCATCAATAGAGTCCCACTGGCAAAATGATTATTTATCATGAAACAATTGCCAGGGTTATTCCAGAATATCCCAGTCTTAGAGATGAAGGTATCCTGTGTGTGTGTCCCAAAATGCTTATTGCAACTGGCAAAATTGTTGGTTTAATCCTACTAACTTTGTATCAAAGAAATTGATACGTTCCTGTGGCTGGTGCGAGACCCATGACTTCCAAGGTCTAGAATACTTTTCTGTCCTCGTTAGTATAGTGGACAGTATCTCCGCCTGTCACGCGGAAGACCGGGGTTCGATTCCCCGACGAGTAGTTTAATCTATCCTTTACGAACCTGGTGAGGTTCACAGTTGAGTCTAACCAGTATGAGCTATAAGATTTCCTGAAAAGTGTGTTTTATGAAGTACCTTACAAGAGTTTGTTGCATGTGCTTTATGTAATGTAGTGGCCAAGTTTGGCTTACACCCCTCAAAAGACTTAGACAACTTGACCTACCTTTCTCTCAGAAATGGAGTCCACCTTGCAGCACCAATAAGAACAATGCCAGTTCACTGTTTTTCTCCACAAGAAATAGAAAATCTCCACTGAAAGCAGTGAGTGCAGCAAATGGTAATATTGTTGATTTAGTCCTTCTAACTTGGAATCTGTGATGAATCAAATCATGTTAGTGGCTGATGCGAAAGCTAAGGTTGGGTTTAAGGTCAGCCTAAGTTTGCATGCAGGAAGTGTACTTTGTATGGTTTCTGTAGTGTAGAGGTTATCACATTTGCCTTACATACAAAAGGTCCCCAGTTCGAAACTGGGCAGAAACATCTACAAACTCTTTGTTGGAACCTTGGCTGGAACCATTCAAAAGAGTATTGCAACATCTTCAGGAAACATTCTCAGGTTTGCAGTCAGTGATGCATAGTACTCTACTGCAGTTGCTGGTGCTAGAACAATGCAAAAGGAGATTGAAGTGTTCATAGCAGGTTAACCTCCTTTCCTCTGATGAATAGAATTTTGATGAGTGTGGTTTCTGTAGTGTAGTGGTTATCACGTTTGCCTCACACGCAAAAGGTCCCCAGTTCGAAACTGGGCAGAAACACAAGCTACTAATTTAGTGTTTGCTCAATACTTGGCTGGAATTATTCCAACATTTACGGCAAATTCAAAAAAACGTTATAAGGTTTACAGGCAGATATGCATAGTTTTCTACTGCAAGTGCTGCTGCTACAACAATGTGAGAGGAGAACAAACTTACAAGAAAAGTGGTCCAGTTTTCAAAGAACGTTAACTGCCTTTTCTCTCATCAATAGAGTCCCACTGGCAAAATGATTATTTATCATGAAACAATTGCCAGGGTTATTCCAGAATATCCCAGTCTTAGAGATGAAGGTATCCTGTGTGTGTGTCCCAAAATGCTTATTGCAACTGGCAAAATTGTTGGTTTAATCCTACTAACTTTGTATCAAAGAAATTGATACGTTCCTGTGGCTGGTGCGAGACCCATGACTTCCAAGGTCTAGAATCCTTTTCTGTCCTCGTTAGTATAGTGGACAGTATCTCCGCCTGTCACGCGGAAGACCGGGGTTCGATTCCCCGACGAGGAGTTTAATCTATCCTTTAAAAACCTGGTGAGGTTCACAGTTGAGTCTAACCAGTATGAGCTATAAGATTTCCTGAAAAGTGTGTTTTATGAAGTACCTTACAAGAGTTTGTTGCATGTGCTTTATGTAATGTAGTGGCCAAGTTTGGCTTACACCCCTCAAAAGACTTAGACAACTTGACCTACCTTTCTCTCAGAAATGGAGTCCACCTTGCAGCACCAATAAGAACAATGCCAGTTCATTGTTTTTCTCCACAAGAAATAGAAAATCTCCACTGAAAGCAGTGAGTGCAGCAAATGGTAATATTGTTGATTTAGTCCTTCTAACTTGGAATCTGTGATGAATCAAATCATGTTAGTGGCTGATGCGAAAGCTAAGGTTGGGTTTAAGGTCAGCCTAAGTTTGCGTGCAGGAAGTGTACTTTGTATGGTTTCTGTAGTGTAGAGGTTATCACGTTTGCCTTACACGCAAAAGGTCCCCAGTTCGAAACTGGGCAGAAACATCCACGAACTCTTTGTTGGAACCTTGGCTGGAACCATTCAAAAGAGTATTGCAACATCTTCAGGAAACATTCTCAGGTTTGCAGTCAGTGATGCATAGTACTCTACTGCAGTTGCTGGTGCTAGAACAATGCAAAAGGAGATTGAAGTGTTCATAGCAGGTTAACCTCCTTTCCTCTGATGAATAGAATTTTGATGAGTGTGGTTTCTGTAGTGTAGTGGTTATCACGTTTGCCTCACACGCAAAAGGTCCCCAGTTCGAAACTGGGCAGAAACACAAGCTACTAATTTAGTGTTTGCTCAATACTTGGCTGGAATTATTCCAACATTTACGGCAAATTCAAAAAAAACTTTATAAGGTTTACAGGCAGATATGCATAGTTTTCTACTGCAAGTGCTGCTGCTACAACAATGTGAGAGGAGAACAAACTTACAAGAAAAGTGGTCCAGTTTTCAAAGAACGTTAACTGCCTTTTCTCTCATCAATAGAGTCCCACTGGCAAAATGATTATTTATCATGAAACAATTGCCAGGGTTATTCCAGAATATCCCAGTCTTAGAGATGAAGGTATCCTGTGTGTGTGTCCCAAAATGCTTATTGCAACTGGCAAAATTGTTGGTTTAATCCTACTAACTTTGTATCAAAGAAATTGATACGTTCCTGTGGCTGGTGCGAGACCCATGACTTCCAAGGTCTAGAATCCTTTTCTGTCCTCGTTAGTATAGTGGACAGTATCTCCGCCTGTCACGCGGAAGACCGGGGTTCGATTCCCCGACGAGGAGTTTAATCTATCCTTTAAAAACCTGGTGAGGTTCACAGTTGAGTCTAACCAGTATGAGCTATAAGATTTCCTGAAAAGTGTGTTTTATGAAGTACCTTACAAGAGTTTGTTGCATGTGCTTTATGTAATGTAGTGGCCAAGTTTGGCTTACACCCCTCAAAAGACTTAGACAACTTGACCTACCTTTCTCTCAGAAATGGAGTCCACCTTGCAGCACCAATAAGAACAATGCCAGTTCATTGTTTTTCTCCACAAGAAATAGAAAATCTCCACTGAAAGCAGTGAGTGCAGCAAATGGTAATATTGTTGATTTAGTCCTTCTAACTTGGAATCTGTGATGAATCAAATCATGTTAGTGGCTGATGCGAAAGCTAAGGTTGGGTTTAAGGTCAGCCTAAGTTTGCGTGCAGGAAGTGCATTGTGTATGGTTTCTGTAGTGTAGTGGTTATCACGTTTGCCTAACACGCAAAAGGTCCCCAGTTTGAAACTGGGCAGAAACATCTACAAACTCTTTGTTGGAACCTTGGCTGGAACCATTCAAAAGAGTATTGCAACATCTTCAGGAAACATTCTCAGGTTTGCAGTCAGTGATGCATAGTACTCTACTGCAGTTGCT